GGCCTAGAATGAAATAAATTAATTATATGAACCATTTTGGGCCATAATTAACCTAATTTAGCCCTAGTAGGTCATAAGACTCACATTTATGATTATTTGGACCAAACATCACTTAACATAAGCATGAAAAAGGCATAAGCATACAAGGCCCAAATTCTTTTCTCTTCCTCTCTAATTCTCAGCCCAAGCCCAAAAGCAGAAGAAGAAATTGACTTTTGCATGACACCTCATTTTTGCATGGAAGATATCTACGTTATTACACTTCAAACATCCATGCCATCTCATGCTTTCATGCAACTCACTTCAAAAATCACTCTTCTATCCCCTCTCTCTCTTGCACTCGAACGATACCAAACACACACACATATGTCTCACAAGTCTCTCAAGGAAACTCCCTCTACTCTTCATCAAGTTCTCGAAATTTAGAAGGTTTTTAAAGAAGATATTTCCACAAATTCTTCATCTAAGGTAAGATCATGCTTGGATATATGATCTAGGTTCTTTGTTTTATCAAAAATCTCTTTCTAATCCATGAAAAATCATGATCACTCTCTTAGAAACCCTCTAAGTTCGGAATCATCAAAGGAAGGCTTGTTAGGGCCGCAAACAACATCAAGCTCCTTCCAATTGTAGTAGCCCGTCATTTCAAGTTGGTAAAAATCGAGTCTTGTAACCTCTTTGAGAAAGGAATTAGAATATCATCGAAAAATGAAGTATTCAAAAACTCTAATTGGAGTATACTATGTGGTAGGTATTGTCTTAAGGTTTCCAAACATATAAATAACACAAAAATCCGAGTTATAACGAAGAAGTTATGACCATTCTAAGTTTTCCGACAAAAACCGGCAATACGAAGTTGCGTAAAAACGCAAAGTTTCAATAAAACACTTTCTGACTTAAGGTGTCTAAATGAAAGTCATAGGTATCGTTAAACTACAAACATGCATAAAAAGAACGCTCAAATCGGACATCGTATGAATAAGTTATGAATTTTTAAAGAAATTCCTTAATCACGTCATTTTAATAAAAAAATAATAAAAATAATTTCGGAATTTGCTAACGGAATCTAAATGAGAGTTGTAGATCGTAGTCTCACCTTCGCGGGGATATAAAGAACGTCAAAAACGGAGTTCGTATGCAGGAGATATGAATTTTTGAAGTTTGATAAATAATTTATATATAATTTTTTATTAAAAATTCGGTATTACGCGCCGCGTACGCGCCGCGTACCCTCGTACGCCCCGCGTACTCGAGGCCACGGCCTCGGATCGTCCACGTCACCCTATGCGAGCTACCCCCTCCCCGTCCCGTCCGAAGCGCTGCAGCCGAGGATGCGGTCAGCAGTGACGTCCCGTACGCGCCGCGTACGGGAGTACGCCCCGCGTACGCATGCTTCTCAGCCCCTTATAAAAGGGATGCAAGGGTTCCTGGGAAAAGGGCTCTTTCTCTCTCCTTTTTCTTGCATTTTACCTCTTTTTCCGTGCTCGCACTACCCCGAAGCCCTGGTCATTTTGTGCAAGTCCCGAAGGTCGATTTACTCCCGAGGAATCCCGAGAATCCCGAGGAAAATCCATTTCCCGAGACGAAACTTTGCCCGGTTTTCCATCTTGCTATCTTCAAATTTTCAAGTGAGTTCATACCCCTTTCAATCACACTTTAAATACATTTTAAATGCTTTTATACTCTTTTAGGGGGGGAATACAAGTAAACATACAGTTATTATCGTGTATTTTATAAAGTTTCACTTCACTTGTTTTATCGAATAAATCACTTGGAATTCATTACCACTATGGAAAACTCTTGTCATACTTTGCGTGCATTAGACTTATACAAAGTATATAATGATTTCAAAGTACCTTTCATTGTTAAGTTGTCTTATACATTCTAAAAACTTATGATTTTGATTTGTCAAAAATTGTGAAAAACGATAAACTTTGCATACAAACTATCGCTTTAATGCAGTCTTAGTTGAGAATCCATGAGACGTGTATATCTTCAAACGTTACTTTTCTTTATTAGAAAGTAATGCTGCAAGTCTTGTCTATAACCAGAGTCTCCCGTTCGGAGAACGTGTCAAATGTGTATACATCTATACGGGAAGTCATGATCCCGCGCCCTGACTGTTAGCTACAGTCCGTCTTTTGGGGTGACAGTTGTCATAACGCTGCGACGCCTGAAGAACGTCGTTACAGGCATATTATGTTTGGTATGGTTATAAAACTCATCGGTTATACAATTATTATGGTATTATGCTTTTATAAACGAGTGGCTATTAAAACTGTTCTTCATCTAACAAATGCGATCTTCGTATAGCTTTATTATATAAAACTATGACACAACTTTTAAGAACGTCATTTTCTTGCGATTTTTGGTCTTAGAAACCGCCAGTCATGTTAGCAAAATAAGGGTTTTTCCTGTATACAAACCAAACAACTAATAGGAAGATAAGGGATTTTCCTGGTACAATTATTTACAACTTAAGACACGAACATTCATATGCATTCCATACTTTTAAAAAAAAATAAGGGTTTTCTTGGAAGACACAACAAATCATATCTCAACCATTAGGGAAAATATGGGATTTTCTAGATCTAATACGTTCATTTTCAACACAACAAGTCATAACTCTTCACACTTGAAACACTGAGTTTTCTGGAAAACATACGCCCATTTTGGAATGGCATCCAATTTTTCTAAACTACTTATGAACTCACCAACTTAATTGTTGACACTTTTTCTTTGAATTAACTTGTATTCTCAGGGAACCGCTAAGCAGGTTTGAGAATCAACTTTTGGGATTAACGCACTGGCGTTAATTACTTCTTTTGAATGATGTTTATGTATTTAACTTTTGAACATGTAATGAATACAATTATGTAAACATCTTGGAAACTTTAATATATATATGGTGGTGTGTACTTTCCTTTCTATGAACTGTTATGATATTGAATATGACGTACTCCGCCCCCGAACGTTTCCGCCGTTCTGGTTTGGGGGTGTGACACCAATCTTCTTGAAAACCGAAACTACAACTCAAGGTAAGCTTCATATCCCCTTTCTTTTGGTTTTTATGAGTTTTTATGGGGTAGAATACAAGCAAATGTGTAGATCTATGAGTAAATGTATGCTTTGTGTGATTTGATGCATGTTTGTGTGTAATATCATGTGTTGTGATGAATATGTTAGCCAAAAAGGGTCCAACATTTGATGCATGTTTGTGTCTAATACAATTTTTCTGAATATCAACATTTTTGAGGAGCTTAAAATGTAAATTTTCAACCTAATGGGCTAAAATGCGCTTTTCGGGCCAATAAGCTCCAATTTGTGAACTTTTTAAATTTGAGGGGCTGGAACTGTAACTTTCTGTAAAACAGAGAATTTCAAGCGTATTAAAACCATTTCAAATGTCAAAAATGTTTTCAAATTCAAAAGGGATCAAAAATGCAAAACTTTTCCATTTTGGGCCAAAACTGTAAAAGTTACGAAAATGGGGGTTCCAACCAAGAAAAAATCATTTTTGAAGGACTTAAGCTGTTTACAAAGTAATTTTGGGCTGAAAATGTCTTTTCAATAAGTTATGGTACTAAAGTGTCAAGAAAAAAAAATGGTTTGAGGACTAAAATGGAAATTCTTTTATATAAAGAATTAAAAGTGCAAATTTTATCAAAGAAGGGTCGTGAAAAGGTAAAATCTTACTTTTAAACAAATAAACCCCTTAAGACAAAATACGAGATCCACAACTACCGGCGAAACATAATAACAAATACACTTTCAACACCGATATCATTACCAAACGAATTGATTCGGTCTCGAATCAATAACAAATCAAAAATCAATAAACAATAGTACTTCAGTAAACACGCAAAATCTACGAGGAGTCAATATTCAATCTTCGGGCTCGAATGTTTCAAATCATGCTTGTTGGGCCTTGCTAGCCCAACAACATGATCTTTAGGCCCGAACGGAACCCACTTACATGTTATTGGGCCTTCTATGACCTAATTTCGTGTAAAAGGACTTTCAATAGCTCTAATGTGCTGTTGGGCCCAAAGGGTCCATTGGTACTGCTAATGAAGTCGAGAAGTCTAATGCGATTCGGGCCAAGCGCCTTGCGCATTTCCGATAGCCTTGAAGAACTTATCGAAATAAAGGGGGCTTCATACCCTCCTTTCCCCACGGATGTGGGGCTATGAGAAGTCAAGGTGGTTGGATTAAGTGAGTAGTACGGACGATGCCTAAAGGATCGTTTGTAATTAGTAGTTATAAACTAGTCACTTTCATTAATGTGTAATTATAACAACTCACAACCCATAATTAATCCAATGTCACCTGGGTAATAAAAAACAATCGTCGTATCGGTATAACAATAAATAAGACAAGTAATTTTATTTATTGGGAAAACATCGGGTTTTCCCGGGGAGTTCAACAGTTTTACTTATGTGATGTATTTAAAGTTCAACAATTATACATGTTTACAAAAAATGACGAGCATACTTACGGATCTTCACACTTTTTTTTTTATAGACAATACTCTTTTCAGAAAATATCGGATTTTCTGGGGTTTTTTTTTCAAACTTCACAGAAATCATTTTTCACAACATTAGTTATGAACTCACCAACATTTCATATGTTGACGTTTTTCCAAAATACTTGTATTCTCAAGCAACACGTAAACCGAAGAATAAGTACCAAGTGATGTCAAGGTGTTTTGCTTAAATTTATTATCGAACGGTTTGTGTTATGGATTTGTAATGTTTAAAACAATGTACCGAATGTAAACAATATCAGTTGTAATATTTCAATGCATGGTGATGAATGATGTTATGATTCATGTATAATCATTGTGATGGTATTCAATTAAGTCACAATAGCCCTCGGATGCTTCCGCCGTCTGGTTCGGGGGTGTGACACAAGAGTTGATCTTGCCAAACTTTCAAGGGCCTGATTTCATATGATTCCAATCTCTTCTAGACAGGTAGCTCAAGGAGAACTTCTCAAATATGAAAACTGCAAAAGCCATATCCAGAAAAGATGCGGATGTTGTCGATCCTGAATATGGTGAGCCAATGAAGATCATACTGTGGCCAGCAACAAAACAACTGAAAGACATTCCTATCCCTCAACACTTTCATGAAGGATATCTTGACAACATGGAATTTTGGGCATATGATGATGAAACTGCCACTGCTTCCATTAAGTTCAAGAATAAAGAAACATTAATGAGGCTTATTTGTGAAAAAGATCTTCTCAAATTCAGAGAAAATGACATTCGTAACTTGGTTCTTCACCAAATCATTTGCAAAAAAGAAGTCATGGAGGCTGTTGCCAAGGAATTCACTGGGATGCTCGCCCCTATCATCAATGGAATATTTGTTGGATAAGGTGTCTAAGTCCATAACTATTTCTGGTATGTACTTGACCCGACCCGGCATGGTCCATTTGGGTTGCATGGCACCATGCAATTGGATAGACTAAATGAGAGAAATAACACTTGGAGATTATTAATATATTATAAGTTCTAATATATTAATAATATTATTTGATTAGTTTGATCAAGAATTAATTTAGAATTAATTATGTGATCAAAAGATAACTAATTAAATATATGGTTTGATTATGTAAATCATCCATATCTTGAATAGTGGGCTAAAAGGCTCCATGGACTATCAAGTTGGGTTCCACCCATAGGATGCTCCATGGATGCTCCATGGGAGTTACAAACCCATGGGTCATGGAAATGAAGAGTCATGACACATTAGGGTTTAACCCTTGATGTGTCAACACTATATAAGTAACATGTTCTCCACCTAAAATCGGCTACACTAAGAAACAAGAGGGCTTGGCCGATTTTGAAGAAGTGTGTATACTCTCATAAGTTCTTCCAAGAGCATTTGGTGTTGTGTGAAGCATTTGAGGCATCACACTTGGGGTGCTAGGCTCACAAGGTTTCAAGGAACACAAAACAACAACAAGGTAAGTTATTCTATCTATACTTTATGTTAAAATTGTTCCCCATGTATGCTAGATAGGAATATAACTTGGAATTCAACTTTGCATGATAATTAGACAAACATAGATCCAAGGTTATTAGGGTTGCATGTACACTTAGGAAGTGTTAGAATGCTCAAAACCCATCAGTGGTATCAGAGCCTAGGCTTGTTTGCTCTTATTTGTGCTTAAAAGTTGAAAACAGAATCGGAAATCTTGCTGTCTGCGAATGGACTCGTCGAGTCTATAGGGGGGACTCGTCGAGTTCATGAGTATCTTCAACCAACTCGGCGAGTCAGTTCATGCACTCGGCGAGTAGGGTCGACTGATTGCAGAATTTCGATTCAGTTGCTGGAAATGAATTAGAAACATTACCCTAAACTGTTTTGGTAATTGAAAACTTGTTTTTAGTGGTGTAATGTCTTTGCTAAATCATTTACAACAACTAGTTATCAAAATTACAAAGTTTTAAATGTAATTTTTGATTGTGTTCATATTCATGTTCTTGTTCTTATGATGTTTTAGATGATCATAGGAATTATTTGTAACCTATGTGGTAGATTAATTCTTGATCATAATGTGTTTTAATGGAGTTCATAACTTATCCTTAAGTTATGGAAAACCAAGAGTCACACTTGAGTTAAACCATTAAAACAAACACAAGAGTTAGAAAAATGAAGAGTCTGCATTTTATTACTCTATTAAACTCATAAGTTACAAGAAATGAAAAGTTTTGAAAGTTACAAAACTTGCCCTCAAAGTTTGGAACAAGTAAAGTTAAGTTAAAACTTTAAGTTCCAACCCCTAGAATTTTAAAAGTTAAAATTCAACCCTTATACTTATATTATGATGATTTAATAATTATATATATATATATATATATATATATATATATATGTATAAGAATAAAGTCGTCTTACCGCTAGTACGCCTCATTCACGAAGCCGGTCTATAAGGTGGGTATAAGGTTGTTGCCTATAAAATGGTGACTTAATGGGTGTATATTCTCACCCACCGCTTGCTTGACTGGTAGAGGGTCGTTAGCCGAACGGGTAAGACAAGGACTTATAAATTCTCATTCAAAGTATGATGAATATAATAAAGTAACTAAATGTTTATTAAATTCCCAATCTTAGTTACTTTAGGAAAATGTGAATAAGGTGCTAATCCATGAAATTACACTTTACAGTTTGTCTAAGTCGTTGGTGGAGCGTGTGTGGTTAACCGGCACACTAACTTGGACTTAACAAGGTAGGTAAAGGGTGACTTAAGGTTTATTATAGTATCGGTGGAGCGTGTGTGGTTTACCGGCACATCGATTGAGTGATAAACTTTAAGGGTACCAAGTGATTTGCATGGTTACTTCACACCTCGTTTTGTGATCCTCGGCATCCCAGTCACAAAACTTGGAGGGCACTCTCGAGATTGAAACATGCCTTTGAAAAATTCATTGGATCTCAAAGAATCTAGGAATTTCTAAAACAAATAAAAACTAAATATCTAATATTTCGGTTTTCGTGGTGGAAATTGGTGAATCGTCATTCACTTACCTTTCAAATATGGTATAGCTTAGATTACGGCATACCTCTTCTAAGTTATATTATATTGTGATTGGATCCTAGCCTTAATATTACATTTGGGTGTTTTATTAAGGACTCTCTTAAATCTAAACTAAACTTGTTCTTCTCTTTCAGATGTCTTCAAATAATGCTTCTGGCTCGAATCCTAATGGCTCCTTTACTCTTATGAGTTTGTGTGGGAAAGTCACCTTTGATGGATCCAACTTCAATAAATGGATCAGAAACATCAGGATGATTACCCGCTACGAGGACAAAGAATATGTCCTTGACAAGGAGCTTAAGGAAATTGATGAGTCCACTGCAACTCCCCAGGAGATCGCTGACTTTCATACTCATGAAAGAGATGCAACCAAGGTGGCATGCATCATGTTGGTCACAATGACAGCTGAACTCCAAAAGTCTTATGAGGATTTCTACCCTTATGAAATGCACCAAGATTTGATGGAAAGATACCATCAAAGTGCACGACAAGAGAGGTACGAAGTCATCTGCTCCATGATAACAACCATGATGAAGGACGGAGAGTCCGTCACGAGCCCACATGCAGAAAATGCAAAGGTATGTGGATCGTTTGTTGAAGCTCAATGTGAACTTCCCTGAGGAGCTTGCAATAGATATCATTTTGCACTCCTTACCATCGTGCTATGATCAATTCCGCATGACATATCACATGAACAAGGAAGAGGTCACCCTCAGCAAACTTCAGGGACTTCTCAAGACCGCAGAAACAGGTCTTAAGGGGAATTCGGTTGCTATCACTCCTACTCCAGACTCAACTCCGGTCTTGGCAATCGGGCAAAGTCGAGGGAGGAAGAGAAATAGATCCTCGAAGGGTACCAAGGCTCGGACCCTTGATGGCTCTTCCCTCAAGTGGAACCAAGAAAGGTTTCATTACTCCTTCTTCTGACCCAAAAGAGGCTGAATGCTTCTATTGCCATGAAAAAGCTCATTGGAAGCGGAACTGCCCAAAGTACCAGCAGGATGTGAAGGATGGGAAAGTCAAACCCAACCATGCAGGTATTTACACTATCATTTCTAATAACTCACCCCATTCGAAATCTTGGGTCCTTGATAATGGTTGCGGTATTCATATTTGTTGTGACTTGCAAGGACTAGGAAGAAGTGAGAATGTGGAGCAAGGAAGAATAAACTTAATCATGGGGAATAGGAAAGTTACACGTGTCACCAAGATTGGAGTTTATACTTTATCGCTAAGTAGTGGGTTAAATTTAGATTTGAATAAATGTTGTTATTCGCCAGAAATGGCAAGAAATATTATTTCCTTTCATGCATTGTACAAACAAGGTTTCACCTTTTCGTTTGATAATGAAGTTGGTTCGATTAATGCTTTCTTTAATAATGTTCTTTATTTTAAAGCATTACCTTGTGATGGTGTGTATGAAGCTGTATCTGTTGTAGATAACTTAGGAAATAATATTTTGTGTATTGATTCTACTAATAATAATAACTTGGATAAAGCATCATTATGGCATTGTCGTCTTGGACATATAAGCAAGAAACTCATAGGCCAACTCCAAAAGGATGGAGTCTTGGAGTCATTTGACCTAAAGTCAAATGATAGTTGCGAATCATGCTTACTTGGAAAAATGACAAAGCCACCCTTCACAGGCTGTGTGAAAGGGGTGAAGGTTTTGTTGGACCTTATACACACGGATTGTGTGTGGACCATTCAAACATGCCACAAGGGATGCTAATCGTTATTATTTGACTTTTACTGATGATTACAGTAGATATGGATATGTCTACTTAATCAAGCAGAAGTCAGAGACTTTCGAGAAGTTTAAGGAATTTAAAAAGGAAGTCGAGAATCAATTGGCAGGAACATTAAGATGCTTCGATCCGATCGGGGTGGTGAGTATCTTAGTTCAGAGTTCCTCGACTATCTAAGTGAATGTGGGATTGTCTCACAATTGACACCTCCCAGGACACCGCAGTTGAATGGTGTGGCTGAGAGGCGTAATCGAACCTTGTTGGACATGGTTCGTTCCATGATGAGTCGAGCTTCACTACCAATCTCATTCTGGGGGTATGCCTTAGACACTGCCACCCATATCCTTAATCTAGTCCCTACAAAGAAGTTGCCAAAACTCCTCACGAGATGTGGACTGGTAAAGTACCTAAACTAGACGCACATCAAGATTTGGGGTTGCGAGGCTTTCGTGAGACGCGAGACTCATGATAAGCTCGAACCCCGAAGCGAGAGGTGTATTTTCAATCGGCTACCCACAGCAAATCCTTCGGTTACCTCTTCTACAGACCTAGTGACAATGTGGTCTTTGTAGCAAGAAGAGGAGTCTTTCGAGAAAGAGAGTTTATAAGCCAAGGAGAAGTGGGAGGCAAGATGATCTTGAAGAAATTCAAGAGTCAAGTGGTGAAGGAACTTCAAACTCTAGCCCTCAACTTGAGGAGGAAACTCCTGTTGAGCCAATTGACGAATCTTACCTCTGAGGCGTTCCACGAGAGTTAGGAGTGCACCTGAGCATTACTATGGATTCCATATTACTACATGAAGGTGAGACACTTATTAGTGATGGGACACTAAGTCAAGAGACCTAAACAGCTACGAGAAGCCATGGCAGGCCCCGAGTCTACTAAATGGAAAGAGGCTATGGATAGCGAGATACAAATCCATGTATGACAATCAAGTTTGGAACTTGGTTGAAAATGTACCAGGTCGAAAGACTGTAGGGTGCAAATGGGTCTTCAAGAAGAAGACCGACATGGATGGTAAAGTACACACTTATAAGGCTAGACTGGTTGCAAAGGGCTTCTCTCAAATTCCTGGAGTGGAT